AAGACACTCCCCAAATGTAAAATCACAACTGGGTCAAATGGCCCACAGGAAAATGGAAGGGATCAGAATAGCTCCTGGCCAGGCCCACAAAGGAGGCTGGAGGCTGAGCCACTCAGGGAAAAGTGACGGACCTCTTCAATTACTGAAGCAGGACCCTCACCCTTCCCCACGTACTGCAGGTGGAGAAGGGGGAAAAGAGGGGCAGTGACCTCTCCTCCCTACTGGGCACTCAAATTCACCTAACCTCTGCCACAGGCCAGAGCAGCCCCCAGCCCCTCCAGGCTGCCCCTCCTACCTCACAGGATCTTCAAGCAGAATCAGAGCGTATCTCTCCCCTGTCTTTGGAGCAGCCCCAGGCCTGAAGAATAAAGGTCAAAGCTCTCGAGTCCCCGCCCTCTTCCATCTAATGCATGCCAGGGCTCCCCCACAGATCTATTAGCTCCTGCTGGTCTGAACTGTGGGCTGCTTCACACTGCTCCCTGCTTGGAATGCCCACTCCCTCTCCATCTGCCTAACTCTGACTGCCAACCATCTCCCAGGAGAGCCTCCCCTGTCTCCCCCAGGCTCCGTGTGGCAGATGGAATGGACATACCCAGCTACCATCCTGGTGTGGACGACAGCTCTGCTTTGGGCTGAGCCTTAGAGTTCCAGTTTGTAGAATGGGAAGCAGGACTGCTCCGGCCATTAAATATGGAATGGTGTGTGCCTGGCATGAGTGGCACCAACCAAGGCCACTTTTCTCTCTGTTCCACCCTCCCCATTCTAGACTTGAAGCTCCTTGCAGGCAAGGAGTGTGGCTTTTGATTCAGAGGTCCCAGCAACTAAGACAGCTATCAGCACAAAGCAAGTGCTCCTTACGTGTTGAAAGAACCCCCATTTCACAGCCAAGGAAATCCAGCCAGTAGGGGAGATGTGGGGCCCACACCCCTCTCCAGGCCACTTGGCCTCTCAAAGGGGCAAGGTGTCAGGCCCACTTTTATTAATAACCAGGCCAGAGCAGACTGAAAAGGCTGGTTTGGAGCCAGGCCTCGTGTCCTCAACTTGCAGGATCACCAGATCTCAGGCCTCATCCAAACTCACAGGCAAAGCCTAATAACTCTGCCTGTACTGGGGCCTCGGGCCTGCCTTGAGGTCTCTTCTGGGCCCACTTTTCTCTGGACTGCTTCAGCAGAGCCCACAGCTGCCTAACTTCTTTTTGCAAAGAGAAAGTAACTCTGGGCCGTCCGGAGGCTGTCCTCACCAACCAAAGGGGCTAACAAACTCTGCCCTTCCACCTCTGGATACCCCAGCCCTCATCTACCAAGTCACAGGGATTAGTGGGAAACTGGCCTTTCCTTCCCCTTCTCCTGCTCGGCTCCCAGGGTCCACCCAGGAGAGGAGATTCATTGACAGTGCTGTAGTGCACATTGTTCGCCCTGTTGTCTGTGTGTGGAGGTGGGGTGGAGGGGCCCACCATTTTTGCACCACCCGCGAGGGCTCAGGAGCGCTCATCAATCACCCACCGCCTGGGTCGTGTCGGGAGGTGGGGGGGGTCCCCCTCTGGGGATGCCTAACACAAGGCTCACAGTCCGCCTTTGTCAGTGCTGCCGAGCGTAGCCTGGAAAGGCTGTTAACGTACAGAGGGGAAGCCTCGACCTCCCCATCGGCTCTTCCTCCTTCCTCCCTCGGCCGCAGGGCAAGGACCCCACCAGTGGTCCTGGGAGGGCGGGGAAGGGGCCGGCCGGTCCCGGCTGAGGCGGCGGCGAGGAGGGGGCGCGGAGGAGCGGCTCCACCTCCTCTGTCTCCCAATCGCGTTACAGGCGGAGCCGCCAGAGTTTCCCTCAGTGCGGAGAAGTGTGGTCCCAACTCTCAGGACCGAAGCTGCCCACCACTCGCCCGGGCTGCCCCTGCCCGGCGGCATCAGGACCGAAGCTGCCCACCTCCCCCCAGGGGCCGC